TTCTTCTCTTCCCTATGCCCTGCCACTGCCTTCATGGGGATAAAATCTGAGCACCGCTTCCTATGCAGTGTTTCTGGACTCTTTGCACTTTATGGAAGCCTTTTAGCTTCAGACCTAAATCTCATCTGTTTCCAACTCATCCTACATAGAGTCATCAAACCCCAGTTGATGCATCTGCTTAAGCAGGTGCTTTTGTCCGCTGAGCTATCAAGCCAACCTCATTTACTATTTTTCTTAGAAATTATTTTTCTTAGCATTAGTCATCAGTTATTCTCATAAAATAAAAATTCTGATCTTACTTGTTCCTGTTTAATAATACTCAGGGTTTATCACTGCCTGGACCCAGATAATATTCCTAAGTATTGTGTACAGTTCTTCCATGTCTCTTCAGCTCCAATCAGAATTCACCTTTCTGCTGACCTACTATACTGTCTTCATTTTCTGTTTTTTGCCATGTGATAGGCAGGTCTTTCAGTACCATCACCTAGATTTCTCCTTCCTTCTTTCCTTCCTCCCCACCCAGCCCACCTGCCCGCCCGCCTGCCTGTCTGTCTGTCTGTCTGTTTGTCTCCCCCCCTACCCACCCCTGCCTCCCTCCCTCCATTCCTTTCTCTTTTTTCTGAGACAGGGACTTGGCCATGTACTATTACAGGCTGGCCTTTAACTCACGATGTGGCCCAAATTTTGAACTCACCATCCTCCTGTATCAGCCCTCTGAGTGTTGGGATTATATTTATGTCCCATCAAGCCTGGCTGAATTCCAAATATTATTAAATTGAAAAGATAGTAGGAAGATTCATGACATTATCTTGGAAATACTTTTTTATTCAATATTTTGAATATGTTTTTTAAAAATTTTTATTTATGTGTGCGTGTGTGTGTGTGGCCAGCTCAGCCCACCAGGGGGTGGGGCTGGCTGGCATGTGGTGCTGGGGGATTGAACTGTGTTCTCTGTGCTTTGCTAAGTTTGTTCTAAGTAGGTGCTTTAGACCACTGAGCCATCTCACCAGCCCCTGTTTTGTTTGTTTTCTGATGAAATAGCTGCATACTTTCCAAGGTCAAAGCACTTTAATCACCTTTTATTCCCTTTCCCTTCCATATTTCTAGTTGCTTTTGCTTTACCCTTAATTTTCTTCATTTTATTTGTTTTCATTCAATTCCGTTTTCTGTGTTCTCAATAGACTGTAGGTAATGTTCTGTTGGTCTATGATGGGAATTTAATTATTATTTTTATCTTAACTCAAAAATTATAAAGCATACCAAACGATGTTGTCTTTTGTCTCTTTTTTTTTTTTTTTTTTGCAGAACCGGGGATTGAACTCAGGCCCTTTTGCTTGCCAGGGAAGCACTTATTCCACTGAGCCATCCCTGGCCCCACCATGTTGTCTTTTCACAAGAAAATATAGGACCAGGGAAATAGCTCAGTGACTTAAGTGCCTGCCTGGCAAGCACAAGGTTTTGAGTTCAATCCCTGATACCAGAAAAAAAAAAGAAAAAAAGAAGAAAAAAACCTCAATCTGCAGGTCAAAATAACATGTAGTATAGTCCTATATAGTCAGAGTAGTTCACCCATGAATAAATTGCTTTCTTGTTTTTTAATTGCCTCATTGTCTTATGAGCATTATTATTTAATTTATTGATCTTTTCATCTTGTTTTAGTCTCTTTTCTTGGTCTTTTTTAAGAGTAGAAAAATTTACTGGGGAGTAGGAATAGCTCCTGAGAGACATGAGGGGTCCTGAGTGGGTTGCCCAATATTGCTTTCTCATAGTAAGTAAAAATTTTTTCTTTTTTCTTTTCTTTTCTTTTTTCTTTCTTTCTTTCTTTCTTTCTTTCTTTCTTTCTTTCTTTCTTTCTTTCTTTCTTTCTTTTCTCTCTCTCTTTTCTCTCTCTCTCTCTCTCTTCTCTCTCTCTTTTCTCTCTCTCTCTCTCTCTCTCTCTCTCTCTCTCTCTCTCTTCAAAGCACTAATTTGTTATGAATTTCTTGTTTCAATATTAGGTCAGTTGTGATAGCAACTGGCTTTTATTTTTTTTGTGGGGGGGCCTTGCTCAGAATGCCTTGAGGGCAGGTTTGGCTGGCTTGAGTTGTGTGGATCAAACCGAACCACAGCAACCTGAGCCTGACTGCTTTGTTGAAGCAGCCAGTGAAAGAACTGAGCTAAGGGGCAGACCCCCTGGCTTTTTTTTTTTTTAATTAATTTATTTGTGTGTGTGTGTGTGTGTGTGTGTGTGTGTGTGTGTGACCGGCTCAGCCCAAAAGGGGGCGGGGCTGGCTGACGTGGTGCTGGGGGATTGAACCGCGCTCCCTGTGCTTTGCTAAGCTTGTTCTAAGTACGTGCTTTAGACCACTGAGCCATCTCACCAGCCCCCTGGCTTTTATTTTTATTTATTTATTGTTTGTTTGTTTGTTTGGTAGTCAAAGGAGAAGTATCTTTATAGTTTAAAACCAGACCTTAAGTAAAAAACAACTCTCTCTTCACCCCATCTCACCCATTGCTTCTCACAGTGGCTCTCCCTAAAAGTAGCAAGCAGTAACCATGCTACAGCCTGAACAATTGAAATTTCCTCCACCTTCCCTTAACCTTGGTCTCCACAAAGTCTCAGTTCATGAGCAAAATGAAGACAGATTTTCTGCCAGAGCATAGCACACATGGCCTGGAGTCCAACTGCCAATGGAGTCTGCTCACACACGAGGGACAGGAAACAGAACAAAGGGCAGAGACAGGGAGGGAGATCCATCTTTTCAGGGCATGTCCCCTGTGACCTGCCTCTTCCAGACAAATCCTACTTCCTAACAGCAAGAAACTATAATACCCTGACAGGCCAATCACCTTCCAAACACATGAGCGTTTGGGGGCCATTTTAGGTCTAAACCATAACATCAAGTGACAGCTTTGTTAATTTATAACAAGTCATATAAATAGTGACTTGTATATAAATTTATATGTGCTCCTTTTCTATTGCTGTTTATTGCTGCCTAAATTGAACAAACATAGGTTCTACTGATGTCAACAGAGAGAGTTGCTACAGTACAATTTATTCAAGGTGAGCAATTATTGTGGGTCTCATGAATAGATGAGCTGAAGTTGCAGTGCTTACTAGCCATGTAATCTCAGATACTCATCTGAAAAATGAAGATAAGCAATTACATTAACAACCTTGTAGATTGTGATGAGGATTAAATGCATTAATAGTAAAGCACTTGGAACTGTGCCTGGCGCCCGGGAAAAGCTCTACAAATTTCGCCCATTGTTTTCACTGTGAGCCCTCTAATAGGACCCTGGGCTTTTAGCCAAATAACCAAACACAATACTAGTGAATCTCATAGACACAGGGGAGAATTTTTGTCAGAGAAGGTCTGGGAACTTAATATCATGTTTGTTGCCTTTAGGGGTGAGTTTCAGCTAGGGTGCTGAGAAACCTTAATTTTCACTTAATGTTAGGATGCAGTGTTTACTCTGGCACTGAACATATAAATAGTAAAAACAATATTTAGTCATTTTCCTGTATGTTAGCTTCCTGCAAACTTCTTTTCAAAGGTACATTTAGCTTTTTATATTCATATATTTTCTCTTAACCTAGCTGTGATGAACTGAAGAAAGAGATGGTAGAGGAGGAATAGCTGGTAGGGGGTTTTCATGATATGGAAAACCTCAGGATTAGGAAAACCTCAGTAAATCTCCATGGTGTTATTAATAGGCATATAATCATCAGCAGTTTTTCAGGCTTTATGTTACGGTGTAAGAAAAACAAGAGCATGACATCTTGATCTCTTTGCGGGGTAATTTAAAACTTAGTTATAATGTGAACACCAGCTGTACATATCATGTTACTTGAATTCAGCACCAATTAAAATCGTAAATGAGCCTAGTCATATGTTACCTTTCAAAGCTGATACTTATCAAAACAAATGTCCACATCGACAAAATAGTATGAACATTGCCACATATATTATTATTATTATTATTTTTTTTTTTTTTTTTTCCGGAACCAGGGATTGAACTCAGGCCCTTGCACTCCCCAGGGAAGCACTTATTCCACTGAGCCATCTCCCCGGCCCTGCCATACATATTTTTAACTTGATTTTTCTTAACATTCTAAATTCTGAGCCCCACTCTATTCAGATAACTCTAGTATAGCTAACACACTGGTGATCTTTTAGATGTTAGGTTCTGTTCTAATGAAAAAGATACATAAAGTAGTTGCAGCTTTTGAACAGTACAGCCTCAAGGAACAGAAAAGAGGGGCAGTACCAAAACCTTAAGTATATGAAGTCTGGGGCTGGGGAGATAGCTCAGTGGAATAAGTGCTTGCCTGAAAAGCACAAGATCCTGAGTTTGATTCCTGGTACCACCGGAAAAGAAAAAACAAAACAAACAAACCCAACAGAAAGATGAAGTCTGTAGTCTTTGTATAGCATTTCTATTGAGGTCATCTTTTAGAAGATGACTGCCCCCCCCCCCAACCGGGGATTGAACTCAGGCCCTTGCGCTTGGCAGGGAAGCACTTATTTTACTGAGCCATCTCCCCAGCCCCAAGATGACCATTCTGCTTTGCTTTTGTTATTGTTTTTTGAGATAGGATCTTGTTTTATACTTCTGCCTTAGCTTCCCAAATGTTGGGATTACAGGCATGCGCCACCACAACCCGCATATAACAATATATTAATTGTTCCATTAATATATATGTATATATGTATGTATGTATATGTATGTATAAGAAGGAGGCATTATTCAGAGGACAGTGCTTCACCAATAAAACCAAAACCATTCTACTTGTGCTTCTAGGGAAAATAAGCAACAATGAAAAGTAGCGATGATTTTGGAGCACGATTCAACAGCCTGGACAGTCAGAGACCCTAGACAGTAAAGCGCTGAGTCCCGCCTTCTCCACAATGCTCCGCCTCCGGCCCGCCCCCTGCCGTCCCCTACTGGCTGAGGCGCTGGGGGCGGAGCTCCCGGGAGGCCAGTTAGTGTGACCTGCTTGCTGCCCCGGAGCGCTCAGGGCCGCCGGCGGTGTGCGCAGGCGCAGTGGGTGCTTTCGGCCGGCGGGCCGGCTAAGCGCAGAGGCTGGACGCAATGAGACCTGGAGAGGAGCGGCCGGTGCAGGGTGGCGCCTGCGGCGACCTCTCGGAGCTGTCGCTGGTGGAGCTGCTGGAGCTGCTGAAGCTGCGCGCTACGGAGCGCATCGACGAGGCGGCCGAGCGGCTGGGGGCCCTGAGCCGCGGCATCTGGAGCGAGCCCGAGCTGGCCTACGAGGAGCACCGCGCCCACGGCCTGCTGACGCGCTTCTTCGAGCAGGAGCCGCCGGCCGCGTCCTGGGCGGTGCAGCCGCACTACCTGCTGCCCACGGCCTTCCGCGCCGAGTGGGCGCCTCCGGGGGCCCCCGCGCTGACGCTGGGCTTCCTCTGCGAGTACGACGCGCTGCCCGGCATCGGCCACGCCTGCGGCCACAACCTCATCGCCGAGGTCGGGGCCGCGGCCGCGCTGGGGCTGAGGGCGGCCCTGGAGAGCCCGCCGGGGCCGCCGCCGCCCGTGAAGGTGAGATGGGGCCGGACAGGTGCAGGGGCAGCTGCGGGGGCGCGAACCGGCCGCTCGGGGCTGCCCGCGCCGGGCGGCTTCCAGCTCTGCGTTTGTAAACAACTCACAGAACTCTTAGGAAACAACTTGGAACCAAGCCCGGTTTTCGTTGTGAGTGTTATGGGTCGTTTTAGGTAACTGATTGGCCACTGTTGTTTGCTACCAAGGTTGTGTAAAGCCTGGAAGAAGTGATTTTGTAGGAAAACCTAGCAAGCCCACTTTACAGGCTCCCAAAACTCTTTGGTTTGCGGCAGTCCAAGGAGCTGTTGTAATCTGAGTAATTGGCAACTCGAAGTTTTCAGTCGCAGGAGCCACCAAACCTCCAGAAGCGTACACATGCAAAAGCAAATATGTTTACTGCTTTGATGAGTTTATTCTTGTCTTAATTTTTTATTTCAGTTTTAATATCTGGATTCTTTTAACAGGCGAATGTCCTTTATATTTGTCAGACAAGTTTAATCTTGTGCTACTCTGTTTTTCCAGATGATGTGGGCTTCGTTTTGTGGTACCTAAGATTCACCCATCATCACTCAGGTTAAGGGGAAGCCAAATGTTTTAATGTTCTTTAGCCGTTTTTAAAATTTTTTTTCCCAGTGTCAGTAGCTTTTTTGTTCTAACAGTTCCATCTCTTAAGGCCTGACCTCTTAGGCTTAGAGCTCCTTCGTGCCTCTGTGGGCTTGTTTTTGCATTTGGTAAGGTTTTGTTTTATGGAGGGGAAAGGCCCTTATCATTGGATGAAAACCTGGACTTACCTTTAATCAAGTTTGTAAAGGTTCTGTGCTGTCATCTGGAGATTCATCAGATTTAATAAGTCAAAGATAAAGAGTAAAGAGCAGTTTAGGAGTTTGGGTGTAATTTATAAAGAAAGCTGGACTTTGAGAACTGCACTAACAGCGAATTTCAAGTCGTTCTCAGGTTCAGCAAGGTTAACTGTTTTATCTAAAAATGGAATTTATGTTAATTCTCTCTGTGAGCCAAGACACTTCTAGCTTGTTTCATTGTTTTAGTTGTTTATACATATTTTCTTAGGTTTTTAAAATTGTTTGAAGAAATTAAGCTAAATATCAAAGTAAAATGTTTATTCTGTAAAGTTCTTTTTTGTTTAATTAGGTGTTTGGTGACCAGTAAATCTGCCTGATTGAATTGGTGGAATCGAATTTAGTAAGTTTGTGTAACAGTTGGCTATTTAACCATGGTATTAAGATTTGTTTGATGCTCTTCATAAAGGATGGATGAGTTAAAACTTTTAAAGTAGGTAGTTGAGGCCTGAAGGTTAAGATAATCTATACAAAATAATCTCAGCTCTGCCTGAAGAGTTGTTCTGTGACCCGGGGCATGACACTTTACTCTTTCTCAAAATCACCCTTCCTCTAAAAGATCACTCACCTACCTCACAGGGTTGTTGTGAGGATAACTACGTCCTTGGAAAGGTCTGTACAAATGACATGCTTGCAGATTACATACGTACACTAAATAGCTTAGCCATGAATAAGCCTTAAGGTCTAGATCCTAACAATTTTTGAGGAACTAAGTAGTCATTTCTTTTGAAACAAAAATCTTGCTGTTAAAAATATTGGGGAAATGTGCTATTTAATTCTTTGCACCACATTAGCGTAAAAATTATATAGGTACACTGACTGTAGAAGCATAGAACAAAACCTCTCCATAGTTTAAAGGCTTGTATGTAGATTATGAGTGCATATGTTAGAGAACCTAGTTGGTAGTTCCCTACTAGGACTTGTTATTGTTGTTTTGCTCTGATATAGGTATTTCTTTTTAGGTAATTGTCTTGGGAACCCCTGCAGAAGAAGATGGTGGTGGCAAAATTGATTTAATTGAAGCAGGTGCTTTTAAGAACCTTGATGTTGTTTTTATGGCCCATCCATCCCAAGAGGATGCTGCTTATCTACTAGATGTGGCTGAACATGAGTAAGTGACCAAGCTGAAGATAAACTTGTGAGTGGAACACAGGCTGTGGAGTACTTCTACATCTGCATCAGAGACTAAGAGCTGGCAAGATAGTTTAGCAGACTAAAAGCCAGCTTAGGCAAGTGCAGGGACTAGGGTTCGATCCCCTGCACCACATGCTGTGCCAGTCTCCACCCTCCAGCCTTCCACACCCACCAAGCATGGTGAGCCAGCCATTGAGACCACCTGTGGTGGCACATGCCTGTAATCCCAGTGCTGGGGAGGCTGAAAACAGGAGGATCACTACGAATCTGAGCTGCATAGTGAGACCCTGTGCCATGTACAGTAGAAGTAAATAAATAAATCAGAGATTAAATGTTCACATTTACACATTTAAAAAGTAAATCGAGTTTGGTACAGTAGCATGTTCCAGGAAAGTAGGAGGATTACTTGAGTTCCTGAGTCTAAAACTACCCCGGGGAGTATCGCAAGACCCTATATCAGACCCGCCTTGTAGTTCAAGCTTGCTGGGAGGCTGAGGCAGGTGAATTGAGAGCGAGCCCCACCTAGGCAGTAGTGGGACCCTGTCTCAAGATAAAAGGTACTTACAGTGTTTTTGCTATAAGTGATTTGTAAATCAAAACTTTAGCAGTCTGAATTAATTTTGAATAACAGTAATTTTCCATGCATTTTTAATTTTTTAAGACATAGTTCAGGCTGGCCTTGAACTCATTACGAGGCCAGGCTGGCCTCAAACTCATAGTGATCCTCCTGCTTCAGCCTCTTGTGTGGGAAGGAATATAGGTGTGTGCCTCCATGCCCAAATGGATTTTTTTGCTTTAGGGATACTGGAGAAAGTAATTTCAGATGATCTTTTCCTAGTGTAACTGTGAAATACTATGGAAAGGCATCTCATGCTGCTGCTTACCCTTGGGAAGGAGTAAATGCCTTAGATGCTGCTGTTCTTGCCTACAACAATCTGTCTGTGTTAAGACAGCAAATGAAACCAACCTGGAGAGTTCATGGTATGAATGCCAAATGCTTTGCAAAATAGATGGTGTTTAATGTATTTCAATGCTCCATAATTATGTAATATTTGATTTTTAAAAAACCACTTGGAAATAATTTATGTGCTTCAGATATATATATTTAAAAAGTTTAACCATATTTTCAGGAAATCATATGACCAGGTACTACAGTGTTTACATGTGGTAGGAAGCTAGGACTATTATACATAGATAAAAATGGTCCACTTTTCAGTAATACGTAGAGGGTTTGAGGTATGTAATTATATTCTTTCTGTGGTTATTTAAAAGTTGGAGTTGATTTTCTCCTGTCCTTTTTTTTTTTTCTTTGTTAATGTTTTTTTTTCCTCTTGTCTTTTTTTTTTTCTCCTGTCTTAACAATGAGAGGTTTTGTGATTTCCTCAACTTAAGATGTAATTTAAAACCAAAGTACTGTTAAATCCTGAATATGATAATTTAAAATTTTGTGTATCACCATAATATACAGTAATAAAGTACCATCTTGAAGGTACAATTTTTATTTTTTAGTTTATTTCTTATGATGTAGGAAACTGTTATACATAAATATTCTTTCTTTGATTTTGCTGTAGGCTACAGTCAGTCTATAATTGGAATTGTACCTGCTTCCTGTCTAGATTATAATTTTGTGGGAATTTTTGGTTTTTTGGTAGCACTGGGATGAAGCTGAGGGTGTCACACCAGCTAGGCAAGCTCTCTCTCTTTTTTTTTTTTTGCGGAACTGGGGATTGAACTCAGGCCCTTGCACTTGCTAGGCAAGCGCTTATTCTACTGAGCCATCTCCCCAGCCCCAAAAGTTGTTTTTTGTTTTTTTTTTTTTGGATAGGCAAGTTCTCTTGTTACTCAGCCACATCACACACCTTCATCGTAATTTCTTAACCATATCTAGATTCCTTAGAAGAAAGTACACATAGTCAGTTTTTTTCCTATTATCTGGGAAATAATCATCCTCTATATCAAAATTTGTACAACATATCAGCATTTTTATTATATCAGTAAAGCTAATAAATTTAAATTATTTTTGAGTATATTTAACCTTAAAATAACAACCACCAAGCTTAATTCCAGTAATTTTGTTCTTTTTATAGGTATAATAAAAAACGGTGGCATAAAACCCAATATCATTCCCTCCTATTCTGAATTAATTTATTACTTACGTGCACCCTCAATGAAAGAACTTCAAGTTTTGACTAAAAAGGTGGAAGATTGCTTCAGAGCTGCAGCTTTGGCCACTGGGTGTACAGTAAGAAATTTTCAAAGTTAATTATAATCAGATATATATATGTGGGTTGGGATTGTTTTTATTTTTTAATTTTATTTGTGTGTGTGTGTGGCCTGCTCAGCCCACCAGGGGGCGGGGCTGGCTGGCATGTGGTGCTGGGAGATTGAACCATGGTCCCTGTGCTTTGCTAAGCTTGTTCTGAGTAGGTGCTTTAGACCACTGAGCCATCTCACCAGCCCCTGGGATTGTTTTTATTAAGTTAGATTGAAACCTAACTTACCTCTTTTTCATTTGGGTAATGGTTTTTGTTGTTGCTTTTGTTGCTGGAGATTGAACCCAGGGTGTTGTATTTGTTGATGAGGTCTTGAATATGCAAAATGAGTTGACTGAATAATTAATGTAAATGCCTTTATTTATTATGTATCTTACTCAACTTCTGTAATATGAAAACTAGAGGTTGCTTTATACAGTAATTACGGTAATTTGAATGTGAATACTGTTACACTAGAATCCTTGCCTTTTTGCAGGTATAGTCTTCCTTATCTTCAGATGTACTTTGGGAATTGCTTTATGTATGGTAGTTCCTAGGAAGAAACTTTTATGACAAAAATCTATGAAAACTGTTTCTGGTATAGTAATATGAAAGTGTATAAATACTTATGGCTTGCTGGATTGGAAATTAAAATAGACACAAAGTAATCACGATGTTTTGTTAAGTTGAACAGTAAAGTCAGTAATATTTAAGTATCAGGCTATTATGTAAAGTAGGATGAGTTTTAGAATTACATAAAATAAGAATCTTGCACTTAGTGTAGTTAGATAGGTCTTGACCTGTGTCTCTCAGTGTTGCTAATTTTGTAGCCTTTAGAATTATTTATTATCTCTAGACCTCTGTTTTCTTATTTGAAAACATGGGGATAATACCATAACCTACTTTATGGTTCTTGTGAGAGTTAAATCAGACATTGTGAAGAAGTTAAGAATCTAGCCTTTATATGTATTACTGAGATTTTCTGGTACTTACTAGTCTAGTGAAGTAAAATTTATTAACATAGTAGCGTTGCCTCACAGTAGCAGTAATGCCTAGACAGTGGTGCTAAGTGTTCTAGGAATAGCATGGGTAGTCAGTGGCAGGAAAGATCTGAGAAGGGAAAGCTGTGTACTGGGACTGAAGGAAGGTGTCATGGAAGACTGTACATCTGAATTGAGCTGTGAAGGATGGTCTTAGTACTCTTAGATATATGAAGGACAGAATGAAAAGGACAGAATTCTCACACAGAGAATGTAGTTAGCAAAGGTAAAAGTGTAAAACTTTATATTATGGTTTGTGTCTAGATGTCCGCCTGCCATGCGGTCATGGGGGGGTGGGCTTTTCTTGAGCATGTGATTGATTCATAGTGCAGTGTTAGGATTAAGGGTGGGTGATTTCTGGATCAGTGCACTGGTTGGATTGGCACTGCCCTAATCCCAGTAGACTGGATATGACATAAGGGACAGAGAGAGGCTTTTCTTGCTCTCAGTTGTTGCTTTTGCTCTCTTCCACCACCATGAACTGTTGCCCCTCTGCCGTGTGCCACCCTGCTTTGGAGCCAGTGGATTATGGACTGAAACCTCTACAAACTGTGAGCAAAATAAACCTTTCTTCCCTGTCAGGTATTTTGTCTCAGCAATGAGAAGAGTGACTAAGACATTATGTGCAGTATTTTGAATATTTACATATAAAATTGTCTTGCTTACCTTTCATTGCTGGAAAAAATACCTGATACCTATAAGTTAAAGGAAGAAAGGTTTATTTTAGCTCATAGTTTATAGAGATTTTACTTCATATAGTTTACTGGGTTTAAGGCAGGGTGGCAGGACAGAGGGGAATGAGAGGAGAAACAGTCCATGGCAGGGTAGACAGGAAGTGGCAGCGACAGCAAGCCTCCCTTTCCCTTCCCTTCTATTTCATTCAGGCTACCAGTTTTTTGGGATGTGTCACTCACCTAGGGTGGGCCTTCCTATTGTGTACACTGAGAACTTTGCTAAACTCAACAGTGGACTAATTTAGTGCCACACAGTCTTAATTCCAGTATCACGCACCCTGATCCCCTTAATTCTGAAAAACCCCACCTGTGAGTGCAAGAGGCTTAGGAGAGGGGGACTCTATATAATACATACTGAACTATTATCATTAGCTAATATCTGAAAATGTGCAATATTCTCTGAGTATAGAGCTGTTGTTGTTAGATTTGAATCTATATTTTTGTCTTTTAATAATTCCTTACATTTTGACTGCCTTGGAAGGTCTGATTATGTTGGCATTGTTTCTGCCTTAGTGCCAAGAATAGATGTGAACACTGTTATTTTATGACTAACTTTTTGTTAGCTGTTTGATATTCAGTTTGAGAGAATAGTGCCCATTTTGATTCCAAGTTCAGCCTGTGAGTCTATGTAACTGGGCATACATAAACTGCTTCTGTGTTTTCCTATACTTGAATTAATCAATGAGGACCATAGTTGGCTCATCTTCATTGTGAGAGTTCTGTGTTTCTCAGGGTCCTTTTCAGATCTGGCAGTGGTGTTGGTGTCTGTTTGTATGTTGAATGTTTACAATACAGAATTTCTTTCTTTTGGAGATGAAACCAGGAGCAGTGTTGCTCACAAAGCAGTGGGCTTTTGACCATCTGTATCAAAAAATTCCTTGAGTGCTAGTATCAAAATGGAAGTTTTTGGGTGCTCCCCAAGCCCTTTTTAGATGATTGAAGTTGACATTTGCTAGAAGTATAGAGCTTGGTGACATTATAAGGTTTGGTGTATATGTAATAAGATAGGGTTTTATGAACTGTCTTTATAAGAAATACAAAAAGCACATTTTAAAGTAAGAGATTTGAAAGGCTATATCTGGATGGGAAAGTGCCTTCTCTTAATATATCTCTGTTTGAAAACCAGCTCTTATTTGAAGTTACTTAATTTTAGTTTTTTATTTGAAAATTTGTTTTGTAATTTTTATTAGGTTGAAATTAAAGGTGGAGCACATGATTATTACAATGTTCTGCCCAATAAGACCCTATGGAAAACATATATGGAGAATGGAAAAAAACTGGGTATAGAATTCATTTCAGAAGATACAATATTGAATGGCCCTTCAGGTAATTAAGTTCTTTTATTTATTTAGCTTTTTGAGGAAGAAAAATGCCATCTTTAGTCAAATGGTTTTGTTTAATGGTTGGAGGTGAGGAGGTACTGCTACTGTTTTAAATGGTATTTTCTTACACTTAATAGGTAGAGGAGAGAAGCTAGTATACTCTTTGCTGAGGGTAAAATGTCAAATTAACAGATTTGTTTTGAACAATAACCAACCTACTTTTTGGTCTACATTTAAATATTCCTAGTATTTAAATTCACACCTAATTTTGAAGTAAAATAATAAAATGGGAAATAAAATTTAAATTTGTTCTCAGTCATCACAGCTTATTAAGTACTTATCTAGGGCATTTTCAGATTCTAAGAAGTAACAGATGGTTATTAGAATTTAAATAATCATACTTGGGTTTATTTTAGATTTATTTCCTTTCCTAAGTATATTATTACTAATACATCTGCAAGCTAGATATATGTTTCCTAAATATAAGAAATACTAATGAAGTAGACAGAAAGGACTTAGTTATAAACATAGTGTGTCATGTCATTCACTGAGAAAAGAAATTCAAGAACAGATGGACTATGTAGGTTGGTATGTAATTAGCTAGTTACATTTGAGGTGCTTGTGTAATTTCTAAGTGGAACTGTTCAATAGCCTTTTGAGTTTGGAACCCCGAAAGATACCTATATTGGAGATTTAGGACTTGCTAATATGTGGAGGTAATTGAAGACAGGTATTAATGAGATTTTTCAGAGTTCACAAAGAGAGAAGATGCCCCAAGTGAAGTGTTGGGATCAGTTGCATTTAAGATATGGCAAAGGAAGGATCTTGAGGAGGAGATAGAATAGTCAGAGAAAGCCAGGTAGGGAAAAGTACAAGTCTGAGTCCACATGAGAGGACAAGGAGCAGGCAGCCCTGGAGTGGTACTGAGAGGGCAGGTGAGAGTAGCCATTGGGGCTGGTGAGCGGGTCCAGGAGATGAGGTCTGTGGGGCAGTGATGGAGCTGGAAGCAAAGAAGTGGGAGGGGAGGCAGCGAGAGCTTGAGCACACAGCCCACTCTCTTAAGAAGTTCTTTCTTTTTTTTTTTTTTTTGAGATAGGGTTTCACTATGCAGTTCAGGCTCAGGCTGGCCTCAAATTCACAGCTATCCTCCTGTGTCAACCTCCTTGAGCGCTGGGGTTACAGGCATGCACCAGCATGTCTAGCAAAGAAGTTCACTTCTTTAGGTGTCTCTCTTTTTTTTTTTTTAAGATGTATTTGGTACAAGATCTCACTACGCAGCTAGAACTTGTAGCGATCCTCCTGTTTCAGCCTCCCCAGTGCTGGGATTACAGGCGTGTACCACTGTGTCCAATTTCAGGGATCAAACCCAGGTCCTTGTACTTGCCAGGCAGACACTTAGATTGCTGAGCTAGATGTCTTCTAAAAAGGAAGAGAACTATAGCTGAGTACAGGTTTCTGGTTATAATTTCCTCATTCAAGAGTATTTAACCAAATATGTGTTCTGTAACTTGTGTATTCCAAGGATCTACTGATTTTGGAAATGTTACTTTCGTTGTTCCTGGAATTCATCCTTATTTTTACATTGGCTCTGATGCCTTGAACCATACTGAGCAGTACACGGAAGCTGCAGGTAAGGTTCGGACATAAGTGGTTGGTGTGTGCTTTTTCTCTGTGCTTTCTTATTTCACTACCTGAGATCACCTGCCAGAGTGCTGTGTTTTAGTAGGTAGTTGGAGAGGTGATTCAGATATTGAGAGATAACTTGAGGAATTAATTTTAATAACATGGAGATATGTTAATTCATTTTTTTTTTTATCTTTTAGGCTCACAAAAAGCTCAGTTCTATGCTTTACGTGTGGCCAAAGCTCTGGCAATGACTGCGTTGGACGTTATTTTTAAGCCAGGGTTGCTGGAAAAAATCAGAGAGGATTTTAAATTGAAACTTCAAGAAGAAGAGTTTTTAAATACGGTAGAATAAAAGGAAGACTTAAAAGTCAATTATGAATCATTAAGAGGAAGTGATAATTTTTTCTTTAATCTTTTTATAAAAGCATGTTTATTTTTCAATCTTAAAGGCAGAAGACTTTCTTAATGTGTTAAGGACAAGATATAGAGAAAACACAAATCTAAAATGAAAATATTTACATGTCTACACTTGGAATTGTGGTATTTCAGGAGTTGGATGTGATACCATTTCCTAAACAAGCTAGATGATACATGATTTTTATCCCTGAGAATAATTGACAAAGTTTTATGTTGTATACTAGTAAAGGTCCAGAGAATTTCAACCCTTGTATTGACACTTGTGGATGCCTGATCCATTTTTAGTTGGGTTATTTGTCTTCTGCTTATGAGCTGCATAGTGAGACCCTAATGCTGGTCTACATCAGCAGGAACATCAAAGGTGGAAGTCAAAGGTCACCCTCCCACTTTCAGAGCTGCTCCTGATTCTCTGTATTGACACTTGTGAAAGAGTTTTATGATAGGAGTGGTAAACATTCTCAAAAGTAGTTTTAAAGTTCATGCTCTAAATTTAGGCAGTTTATTTCAAATATCTGACTATAATTGCTTAGGTTTAGAACTCTTTACTAGTAAGTAGACTTTTATTTTTTAAAATTTATTTATTTTTTAATAGTAGATTTTTAATCACACATGCTTATGAGAAACTAGAAACTTGGTACAAAGAATAAGCTTTGTTTTTACCATGTGAAGGAAAATGAGGTTTTTTTTTACATGTAATTACCTCTAAGGAGACATTCAAGTAATTCCTAATGCATGGAGACAGGAAACAGTCTCAGCAGATGGGATTGGACTCTTCCTCTTAGGTGTTTGTGGCAGCCCAGGCCCTTCGAGGAGGACTTGAGTGAGGACTGCTGTCTGCACCGACTTTGCTCTCTGAAATCTTCAGCGTCCCCACTTGGAAGCCCGCGTGACTCACTGGACAGCGCAGAATTCTGAGCTCCTTAAGTCTCGTGCTAGCCCAGTATTTATTACGCATTACAAGTTTTTCGTGGCTCGTTTAGGGTGAATTTCTTGAACACGATACAAGAATGTGATAGAATACCTGGTGTAACATATTTTATGCTGTGATTAAAGCTCTGGTGGACTCTGGTGTAAAGGAAGGTCTTGTACAGAAGTGAACAAGGAAGGACAGCATGCATTTGTCTTCTCTGGTATACACGAATCTTTTGGGCCCTGATCTACCAGTTCGCCACTTGGAAAGTTAGATGAGATCACTGTCCTTGTAGTGCTCGGAGCACTCCTAATTGCTGCTCTATATTTCCAAGAAAGAGAGGGCTTGTTTTTGGAAGGGTTAAAAATCGCTTTTCTTCTTTTTCAGGGGTCTACACAAGAGCCTGATTAAACAAACAACCTGTTCTTTTATACAATCAGTGTGCTAAGAATAGTTTTTATATTTTTGAAGATTGTAAAAAGCAACAGGGACTGAATGATGCAACCTACAAAACTTAAAATATTTATTATCTGCACTTAACAACAAAGCTTGCCCACCCTTGTTCTTTATAGTAAAATAAAACTGATTTCTCTTTGATTAATGTCATAATAAAATTGTGTTGTGGGATAAAATTTAAAACTTATAAACTGAAAACACAAAGGAAGCGATTTAGATGTCCTGGCGTGCTGGCCTTAATTAATACAGTTCATTGCCAGTTTTTCACTGTGCAGTAGAAGTTTCTTGTCCCCACTTAGGCTTGGCCTCACACTGGGACACAGTCTATCTGCTGCCGTAGGATTTGCCTCTTGCCCAGGGGTTGTTTAACTCTTTATATCACCGTTTAGAACTTGATCAGAGGCGAGGGCATCAACAGAAGCTGCAGCTTGGACTGAAAAGGCCCGAGATACCTGGTTCCTACACAGATTTAGTCTCCTAATTAGCTTTTTTATTTTGCAGAACCGGGGATTGAACTCAGGCCCTTGTGCTTGCCAGGGAAGCGCTTATTCTACTGAGCCATCTTCCCCAGTCCCTCAATTTTTAAGTTTCTCTACGAAATGTTTTAAATTACTTCTACAGATGTCTGCATCCCAAACAACCAGGTTTTCTAAAACGATAAAATACTCTGTGATTATTAATTGGTGTTCCAACAGACTGATATATCCTGTTGTTTGTGAAATGTCCCCAGTTTCCTATAAAATGGTTGTTTGGATATGATTAATATACTTTTAAAAAGCAAATTGGAGAATATCCTGCTGTTAATGGTTCCTTTGCATCTTGATAAAGTTCCCTGTGAGACCAGACTGTGGAGTTGCAGCTGGCATACAGGACAGCGCTGCGTAACCCTGTGTTCTGCGTCCCAATGTGGGGCGCTAGTATTTATGTACGACTCACATCTGAGCCACTTTTGAGTTTATTATATTTTGTTCCTGTTTTAATTCAAAATTTCTAATTAACATTGATATATCTACTAGAATATGGTCACAGATTTATCATGTTAAAGTTGAACTGACAATCTGTCTAGAAATACAGCTTTTTAATCTTTGGCATTTTACATTATTTCACTTTAATTGTTTTTAATATAATTCAGATTTTTTAATGTTTTATTTTTCATATGCCAGTGAAGTTATTGGGCTGTGTTATGACAAGAAATACAAATAAATACATGAATTCTGGAGTAAATTCCCGTATGCTTACGAGTGATCTTCATTGTCATTTGAATTTAGGAGACTGCTTCTTTTGTAATTATAGTTTTTCTTTTGGAATAAATTTCTTTACCCTTATACTTTAAAGGTATGTTTCCTAAATGACTTTGTTAAAACTTCCATTAACGCACTGAGCTTCAGCTACCATTTGTTTATTGGTCTTCACATTTTGGATTAAATTTTCAAAGATTTTGGAATATTGGCTTCAATTTTTGATCCTCCTGCCTCAGCCTCCCAGAGTGCTGGGACTACAGGTGTGTGCCACCACACCCAATTACCTGACATTTACCTAAGAAATGGTTAAGTGTTAGGAGCCCCTGAAGCTGGAAACTGATCATATATGGGAGGGCTGGATGAGGCCTCATTGCCTAAAGCAATCAAGCTACCTCAGTCTTAAGAACATCCTGCCAGGACTAAGCGCCTGCTTAGGCAAGCACCGGATGAGGCATGGGAGGGTGGAGGGGAATGCCACCAGGCCCTGTCCCCAGGCGTGCTGAGCTGGCCGCTGAGACGGCATGGTGGCACATGCCTGTAATACTGGTGCTGGGGAGGCTGAAAACAGGATCTCTGTGAAGCTGAGCTGGGCCTGTAAATTGCAAGACCCCAGGGTGGCACCAGATAACCCTCAGGACCCCTATGTCAAGCTCAGGAGCTGCCAGGAGAAGTAGACGCCATACTAGAGATGTATCCAGGCAGAGGATGCAGTTGTCGCTTCTTATCCGTTTATCTCTGTTGGGCCTCAGTATTCTCTGCAGAGCCAGTTCTTCCTATCCCCCACCCCTCACTTTGAAACAAACTCTTAGCACCATTTTGAGCTTATTTCATCCACTTCTTTGTTCGAGAAAGAAGGTCCTGGAATACTTCTGTTTGGCAAGCTGTTTCTGGAGAAAGCACCGGACTACAGATTTCCCGAACAGCGCAGAGCGCACCCTTCCTGCAGCAGGCAAGCCCAGGCTTCAGCTGTTCTGGAACACACGGCGACCAGCGAGTCTGTCTAACCTTGCAGGTCAGAGAGTTTGTTAGAGGGAGATAGAGAATTGCTGAAGGGGAGGGGGAGTTAGCTAAGGCCGACCAGGGTGGCCAGGGGTAGGGGTGGTCAGGTTCTGGGCAGTAGGAGGTAGCTGTGCCGCAAAGCAGTACCTAGAATACCTTTGTGGACAGAGAGGGACCACAAGGTAGGTGTTAACCTTGTGAGTGTCGCTATCTCTCATGCAGCTAGTGGCCTGCTTGCAGTGTCTTGGTTCTTAGGGAAAGTGTCTTGATTACATATTTTTATAATTTCATTATTCATACCCTGTATGGAAAGCCTTTTTCTCAAAATCCAATTAAGGATTATGTTAAATTGTGCTGGTCAAATACCTCAGGGGATTAAAGTGACTGCAAGCAGGTGCGGGGCCAGGGGCCTGCCATGCCGGCCCCATCCCTGGGGCGCTGAGAGGGGAAGTGAGACTGGGTGTGGTGGCGCATGTGCCTGTAATCCCAGCTCTTGAGAGGCTGTAAACAGGTGGATCACTATGAGTCCAATCTAGTAGTGAGACCCTGAACACCCTGTAGACCCTTCCCTAAAATGCAAAAAATACAAAAAAGGATTATGTTAAATTAATAGCCTTTTGAAAGGTAATTCTAAATTAATGGTTTGAACATAACTACAAATTGGAAATTAACTCTCTAGTGAGTTAATTTCAAGTAGGCATGAGAATAGGAACTGTATAAAACAATTGTTTTAGGTGGAGTAATCCTTATCTAAAATACTTGGGATTAAGGGCTTGCCTGGCAAGTGTAAGGGCCTGAGTCCAACACCTGGTTCCACCAAAAATAAATGAATAAATAAAATACTTGAGATAACAAGTGTTTTGAATTTTTTTGGATTTAAAAATAATTGCATATACATAATTATATCTCTTGAGAATTGGACCCAGGTCTAGCCACAAAATTTTATTATTTCATATACATTTTGTTTTTAAATTTTATTTATTCGTGTGTGTGTGTGTGTGTGTGTGTGTGTGGCCAGTTCAGCCCACCAGGGGTCGGGGCTGGCTGGCATGTGGTGCTGGGGGATTGAACCTTGGTCCCCATGCTTTGCTATGCTTGTTCTAAGTAGGTGCTTTAGACAACTGAGCCATCTCACCAGCCCTCATATACATTTTTACAGAGAGCTTGAAGTAGTTAATTTTATACAGCATCTTTAGTGTTTTAACTGCAGCACATCCCATGAGGTCAGTTATGGAATTTACTGTTTTTGTCACATTTGTGTTCAAAATGTTTTACATTTTGGATCATTTTGAATTTTGGATTTTCCAATTGTGGGTGTTCAAACCATATTATTAATTACTGCTATCTGTCCCCTAACATTAAGTATGGCTAATATTAAGTTTGCCTCTTAAAATTTATGAACTGCTGTTTAGGTGCTTAGTCCACTGAGCTATGTCTCAGCCCAATTTTTTTTTTTTTTTGGTGGAACCGGGGATTGAACTCAGGCCCTTGCGCTTGCCAGGCAAGTGCTTATTCCATTGAGCCATTTCCCTGCCCCCAGCCCAATTCTTTTTTAACTTGTATCTTGGCTAGGTTCGCTAACCCTGCCCTTCATTATGGTTGCCATCCCTGTAGTTATCTGAGAAATTATTTATGATTTGATTTTTTTTCTAGAGCCTCATCCATTTTATTACTTCCACTTTTACCACTTCAGAGATTGCAGGTAAATGGCTTTTGAGTTATCCCATCTTATTGCCTCCTGGGTTTGCTTTCACTGAGCAGGAAGTTTCGGGTTGCACATTGCTTCTGTATCTTCTGTTCTTTTTTTGTTTTTTTTTTTAAATGTATTTAATACAGGGTCTTTAGGGTCTCACTACACAGATTGGACTTGTAGTGATCCTTCCTGTTTTTCAGCCTCCCAAGCACTGAGATTACAGGTGCACCCCCATGCCCAGTCTCATTTGTCA